CCAGCTGCGCCAGGCGGTGCCCGTCTATATCTCGGCTGCATCTCGGCTGTATCTCGGCTACACCTCGCTCCAGCTGCGCCAGGCGGGCCCCGTCTATATCTCGGCTGCATCTCGGCTGTATCTCGGCTACACCTCGCTCCAGCTGCGCCAGGCGGGCCCCGTCTATATCTCGGCTGCATCTCGGCTGTATCTCGGCTACACCTCGCTCCAGCTGCGCCAGGCGGGCCCCGTCCATATCTCGGCTGCATCTCGGCTGTATCTCGGCTACACCTCGCTCCAGCTGCGCCAGGCGGGCCCCGTCTATCTCTCGGCTGCATCTCGGCTGTATCTCGGCTACACCTCGCTCCAGCTGCGCCAGGCGGGCCCCGTCTATATCTCGGCTGCATCTCGGCTGTATCTCGGCTACACCTCGCTCCAGCTGCGCCAGGCGGGCCCCGTCTATATCTCGGCTGCATCTCGGCTGTATCTCGGCTACACCTCGCTCCAGCTGCGCCAGGCGGGTCCCGTCTATATCTCGGCTGCATCTCGGCTGTATCTCGGCTACACCTCGCTCCAGCTGCGCCAGGCGGGCCCCGTCTATATCTCGGCTGCATCTCGGCTGTATCTCGGCTACACCTCGCTCCAGCTGCGCCAGGCGGGCCCCGTCCATATCTCGGCTGCATCTCGGCTGTATCTCGGCTACACCTCGCTCCAGCTGCGCCAGGCGGGCCCCGTCTATCTCTCGGCTGCATCTCGGCTGTATCTCGGCTACACCTCGCTCCAGCTGCGCCAGGCGGGCCCCGTCTATATCTCGGCTGCATCTCGGCTGTATCTCGGCTACACCTCGCTCCAGCTGCGCCAGGCGGGCCCCGTCTATATCTCGGCTGCATCTCGGCTGTATCTCGGCTACACCTCGCTCCAGCTGCGCCAGGCGGGCCCCGTCTATATCTCGGCTGCATCTCGGCTGTATCTCGGCTACACCTCGCTCCAGCTGCGCCAGGCGGGCCCCGTCTATCTCTCGGCTGCATCTCGGCTGTATCTCGGCTACACCTCGCTCCAGCTGCGCCAGGCGGGCCCCGTCTATATCTCGGCTGCATCTCGGCTGTATCTCGGCTACACCTCGCTCCAGCTGCGCCAGGCGGGCCCCGTCTATATCTCGGCTGCATCTCGGCTGTATCTCGGCTACACCTCGCTCCAGCTGCGCCAGGCGGGCCCCGTCTATATCTCGGCTGCATCTCGGCTGTATCTCGGCTACACCTCGCTCCAGCTGCGCCAGGCGGGCCCCGTCTATATCTCGGCTGCATCTCGGCTGTATCTCGGCTACACCTCGCTCCAGCTGCGCCAGGCGGGCCCCGTCTATCTCTCGGCTGCATCTCGGCTGTATCTCGGCTACACCTCGCTCCAGCTGCGCCAGGCGGGCCCCGTCTATCTCTCGGCTGCATCTCGGCTGTATCTCGGCTACACCTCGCTCCAGCTGCGCCAGGCGGGCCCCGTCTATATCTCGGCTGCATCTCGGCTGTATCTCGGCTACACCTCGCTCCAGCTGCGCCAGGCGGGCCCCGTCTATCTCTCGGCTGCATCTCGGCTGTATCTCGGCTACACCTCGCTCCAGCTGCGCCAGGCGGGCCCCGTCGCGTCGTCGCTGGTTGAGCTCGTCGCTCCGATGACGTGGGTCAACAAGGCGGGTTCATTAGTTCATTAGTTAATTCGTTCATTCGTTCATTCGTTAATTCGTTCATTCGTTAATTCGTTATTAGTTCATTCGTTAATTCGTTAATTCGTTCATTCGTTCATTAGTTCATTCGTTCATTAACACGCTGTCGTGGGTCAACAAGGCGGGGCCCGCGCCGAGGGGCGGGGTGGCGCCGCCCGCCTCCGCCCCCTTCTGCCTGCTCGTGCGCGTGCACCGGCCGCACGCGCCCGCAAACAGCCGCGGCGGCTGGCGGGAGTACCAGCCGCCCCTCCAGCGAGGCGGGAGCTGTGGGCAGCGTCTCTCCACACCCGCCCGCTGTGAGCAGGCACGCTGACACGCTCCGGGACACTTCCGAGACACGTCCCCGACACCTCCTTGTTCACGCCGCCCGCCGTGCGCAGGTACCCCCTCGCCGACATCAAGGAGCTGCCCTCCCTCGAGCTGCCGGGCGGCCGCAAGCTGTACGTGGCGGTCCGGCAGCACGGCTCGACACGCGCACTCGTTGTGGCGGAGGACCCGCCGCTCCGCCGGCCCCGCCGCGGGCACGGCATGCGGGCGTGGCTCGACAAGACCTTCTCGCGCCTCGGACTCGTGGGCCTCGCCGCGCCGCTCGGCGGCGCGTCGCGGCTGCAGCTGCAGCTCTGTCTGTCTGCCGTCTCGGTCTCGCTAGTCGAGTCGGGTCCGAAGGGGACGCCGCGCGAGCTGCTCGGCGCCGCGCTGCGCGGAGTCAGCCTGCGAGCTCGCCCGCCTGGGAGCTGTGAGCGGCGACTCTTCACACCTGCAGCCGTGAACAGGTCCGCCTGCGGCTCGCTCCGTCGGCCGAGGGGCTCGACACGCGTGTGTCGGTCGACTTGCTGCAGGTGGACAACCTGCTGCAGCACGCGCGCCACGGCGTCCTGCTGCGCGCGGGCCCGCCCCCCGCCGGCGAGCCCGCCGAGGGGGGGGCGGAGGACGGCGCGGGCGACGACGGCGCGGGCGACGACGGCGCGGGCTGCCGCGCGTTTGTTCTGCACGCGGTGCGGCGCGGCAATGAGTACGAGAGGCTCGTGCTGCAGCTCGCGCCGCTCACGCTCGCTCTCGAGGCGACGGTGCTAGCCCGCCTCGCCGTCATCGTCCCGCGATCGCGCCAGGGGCAGGCCGGCGGTGGGGACGGCGGAGAGAGCGGTGGCGCGCACGGCGCGCGGCTGCTGGTGCAGCGGCTCTCGGCGACGCTTGAGGAGCCTCCCGACTGGTCGCGCCGGCGGCCAATCTACATCGAGTCGCTGCTGATCGGTCAGATCGACCTGACCATCTCGAGCGCGCTCGAGGTCGGGCAGTCTCATTCAGCCGACCTCCTCGAGATTCCTTTAGTCTGACTGTCTCGAGTGCGCTCTAGGTCCAGCGCGACGACGCGCCGCGCCAGCCTGCGGGCGAGGCCGCGCGCGGCGGAGGGCTGCTCTCGGTCGGCGGCGGCGGCGCGCCGTCGGATTGGATGGCGGCGGCGAGCGCGGTGCCGCTGCTCGCTCACGCACTCCAGTCGATGGTGTGAACAGCGTCTTCACACCTCTAGCTGTGAGCAGGTGCCGCTGCTCGCTCACGCACTCCAGTCGATGGTGGTCCTCGCCAAGGGCATCGGGCTCAACTTCGCCTCGGTCTCGGGCGTGCCGCTCTCCTTCGCCACGACGAGCCAGCAGCGCGTTTTCTACACGCCCTCCGAGCTGCTCTACCGGCTGCGGCAGACCTTCACGCGCCAGCTCTACCCGCAGCTCGGGAAGGCGGTGGGGCACTCGCAGATGCTGGGGGACCCGCTCGGCGCCCTCTCGACGCTCGGATCGGGCCTCAAGGGGTGCGCCACCTCCGTCGCCCTCGGCATCGCACACCGCGACGGCGAGCACTTGCTCGCCGGAGGCCTCTAGTGTGAACAGCGTCTCTTCACACCTCTAGCTGTGAACAGGCGAGCACTTGCTCACCGGAGGCCGCTAGTGTGAACAGCGTCTCTTCACACCTCTAGCTGTGAACAGGCGAGCACTTGCTCACCGGAGGCCGCTAGTGTGAACAGCGTCTCTTCACACCTCTAGCTGTGAACAGGTGAGCACTTGCTCACCGGAGGCCGCTAGTGTGAACAGCGTCTCTTCACACCTCTAGCTGTGAACAGGCGAGCACTTGCTCACCGGAGGCCGCTACCTGCTCGGCGGCGTCGGCGGGTTTCTGTTCGGCCCGCTGCGCCACATCGCGGCTTCGCTCAACTCGGTGGTGGGCCGGATGAACCGGCCGGACGACCCCCTCCTCGACGGCAGCCCGAACGCGCAGCCCGGCCGGCGGAGGGACGGCTCGATCCGCGTGCCGCGCGGCAAGGACGCGCTGCGCACGTTCGGCTCCGGCTTCAGCGGCATCGTGTTGAAGCCGGTCGAGGGGCTGCACAAGGACGGCGCGCTCGGCGCCGCCAAGGGCGTCGCCGAAGGCCTGGGCGGCTGCGTCGTCAACAGCGCCGTCTCGGCGCCGCTGCAGTTCGCCGCGTGGCTGTCGTCGGGCGCCGAGCAGTACGCGATGCGCCAGATGCCGCGGCTGGCCGGCTCGGTGCTGCCTCCGCTCCGGCCGGCGCGAGAGTACCCGAGAGTACTCGAGAGTCCCCGAGATTGCAGCTGCTGCCTCCGCTCCGGCCGGCGCTCCATCCGCGAAAAGTGCGATGATGCGGCTCGAGCCGCGAGAGTGCTAACCTTGGGTCGTTGGTGGGTGGGGAAGGCGCGATCCTTCTTCGGCACGGCGCGGCTCCTCCCTCTCTCGCGCTGCATGATGGCCTCCTTCGAGGCGCCGCCCGCAACCCAGCCTTCCAAATTTTTTTAAGTAAGGTATTTATGGGACATTTATTCCCTCGGGTCCTGGTTGCTCATCTGTCCTCTCCACTTCTTTTCTCAATTATCTCATTGCTTTCCTCTGTTTTTTCGTTTAATAATTCTGCGGTATCTTTTCTTAACAGCTATATGGTTACCATTACACTCCTTGATGTACATGATTATCTTCATAACTCCATTCTCATTTTCTTCTTT